TATTATTATTATTATTTTAATCATAGTGATAATTATCATAAAACATGTACTAGTCATAACAATAATAATAATATTAAAAGTACCAAAACATGTTTTACAGATATTGAACAGACTATTATTTTGTTTCTTATGGAACTCCAAAAAAGATAAAATTAAACGTAATGTAATTATAAGTGATATTGAAAATGGTGGATTGAATATGATTGATATTGCTAGTAAAATATCTTCACTTCGTTTGGCATGGATATCTCGTTTTTTTTAATATAATGGCTCTTATTGGAAAAACATGTTTAGATACTGGTCCGACAAAATAGGGGGTTTGCCACTATGTTTACATTTCAATTGTAACATAAAGGATATGAATTGATTATGCTCTAAACATAATTTGCCAGAATTCTATGTAGATCTTTTTTGTACTTGGTCAGAACTAAAATTCATTGATATGTTTAAAGTAAGAAATATTCCAAATGAAATTATTTGGAAAAATAGTAACATTACCTTTAAGAAAAAAATACTGTTTTATCGAGAATGGCAAGAGGCCGGTTTATTGAAAATTCACAATTTGATTACAAATGGTATTTGGAATGATTCTACAATACTAAATACAAAGGTAAGAGCACACCAGCTCTTATTTGATTTTAAATATACAAAATTAAAGAAAGCATTTCCAGTGTTGGTTGGATAGATGAAGATATGAATTTGAACAAGAATGTGATATTTCGAATATGATAGAAATAGAAACAGGGGATAAAGTGAATGTTTTGTTATGAAAGTGAAGGATTACTATCGTTTGTTATTAAGTAAAAAGTCAAAGGAACCAAATATCATTTACTTTTGGAATTTCTTTTTAGATTTGGATAATGATCGACTTTGTTTGGAAGCTAGCTAGGATGTATTTTTATTTAAATTAAAGCAAATTCGTAATAATAAAGTTAAACAATTTAATTTCAAGATGATTCATAGGTTTATTGCCTCAAAAGAAAATTTATATAAATGGCAAATTATTAATAATAATTTATGCAACTCTTGTGGACAAGTTGACTCAACTTTTCATTTTATGTTATATTGCAAGGATGTGACTTTGTTTTGGAAAATAATATGTAATTTGATATTTAATCTATTCCAAATAGAAATACAAATAGACCAGAAGATAATAGTTGTAGGTAAGTATATTGGAAACAAGAAATATTCACTTCTGAATGTTATTTTAAATTATGCGCAATATGCAATTTATAAATGTTACGTTAAGAAGATTGTTAATGGTTCTGTTTACTACCCACATACTTTGTTTTTTGAATTCAAGTCGTTGCTAAGATTATTTTTAAGATATGAATGTCTTAGCAAAGAAAATAATACTAAGCTGGAAGAATTGTTGAATGTACTTTAATCTTTGGCCTATGTTATGTTCCACTCAATCATTGAGTTATTAATGTACAAATGTATTACTATAATGGAATAAAAACCTCGCTTGAGGATAAGAGAAAAAAAATATTAAAAGTAAACATAATATTTATCATAAAAGTGGGTTCTTGTATAGTGTTATGTCTGTCAGACTTGACAATTCTAATGCTCAAATATTATTACCCTGGCTTTAGCATGGCTGTCATTAATCAACTCTAGCATTTCAAGGAACCTGGGTCGTGTGTATTAAAAATTAGATTCATGTCTTGCCAAAGAACCTTCACGAAACGGCGGGACTCGAACTGCAAACCATGTGATCTACAGTCCAGTGACATAATCACTAGACCTCCACAATAATAACAACAACCATCGATTAAATATAAGGTTGGCAAACTTTACATAGGGTACCTGTACGTGACACAAGTCTAGCACAAAAATAGCACCATTTCATTATTAACTATTCAATATTGCAAGCTACATTTGATTTTTCTTAGTTAACCTTGCTAAATATCACTTTGGCATAATTTGAAAAATAGACCACTTTGCATGGAGAGAGCACATGTACAAATGACCCCCAGTATATTGACAGATATTCAAATATGGAGAAGTTTGTAGATTTAGTTACTGCCAAAATGATAGAGGTGCTACTTGAAAACATTTTGTTTGCCCTCTTGAAAAGGAAACTTCCACTGTGTATAAAAGAATGAACTACATTTAGGTGTCAGTGCATCGATAACATATTTTTCACGGACATATCATGTATCCACTTGATATTGAAACCCATCAGGGCAAAAAACAAAAGACAACATAGACAAATAAAAACATATGAACTTTCATTTGCCCATGCTGCCCAAGTTTAATGTAATAGCCTCTTAGAAAGATTAATAATAATACTAGTATAAACTTATAGAGCACACACACCGTCAACGGACGCCCATGGCGCTAGCTCAGCTACAATTTTCTTAAATACATGTACAAGTAAAGTAAATGTTTATTGGAATAAAAACAATTTTGATTAAAAACAATCATCAGCTCTGCCCGGTGCCCTCCAGCTGCTCCGTTTACTGACAATTCAAGGGACTCAGGCCCTACACGGGCAGCCAATGAGACTGAAGAGTGATAAGTTATTAAGTTCAGATGTATTAAAAATATAATGTTAATTATGGATTCAGTAAAATAAAATTATAAAACTTAAGGAAATACTGGGTTACATATGGAATGGTAAACTCAGTTTTATTTTCATTTATGTTAAGACCGTTGAAATCCATCCAGCCTTCCATGTCACGAATACAGGCTTCTAACACAATATATTAAAGTTTCAGTCTGCTCTCAATACACCCTCTTATATTCCAACCTTTAACAGATAAAAAGGAACTCAGTAACCATTTTTTTCTTTGCTCTCTTCTTACCAAGGGCACTACAGGGACATGCTTATGTAATGTGTTATGCGCTATACAAGAATAGTTTATTAAGTATTATCACTAGTACAAGGACTGCTGCCTTTATAAAACGAACGCATTTTTAAGGCTATATTCACAGGAAACCTTGTTACAAAAAGAAGGCTCACTTTGTTTCACTTTTCATGTTTTCTCCAGTGTGAATTGTCATGATGATCTGTAAGAGAACCATTGCGGAAAAGCTTTTGCACAGATGGAACACTGATATAAGGTCTTTCTTGAGTGTGGGTTCCCATGTACGTGTTGTTTAAAAACTATGCTTTGGGAAAGCCCTTTGCTACACAAAGAACAGTTGTAGGATTTGTCTTCTGGGTGGATTTTCTTATGTTGTTTGAGCATACTCTTGAGTCTTATTGGAAAATCTCTTGTTACAAATTGGACACTGCAATTTTTTTTCATCCTAGATGGACTTATGCAAATTAAGGAAGATTTTAAAATCTCTTGGTACACACATTACAAGGATAAAACTTATCCCTATCACTTCCTTTGTCGTGTATTGTTCTACATGTATGTCTAATTGTAAGAGACTCACCTCTGGAAAATGCTTTATTACAAATCAAAGTATCAAACACACACATGAGACTTTTCTCCATTGTGAATTGTAATATGATCTTAAGAGTAGCATTGTGAGGAAAGCTTTTGCCACGGACGCCCTGATAGGGTTTTTCTTGAGTGAGGGTTTTCATATGTCATTTAAAGTCAATCCTTTGGGAAAACCTTTTGCTACAAACAGAAAAGTGAAAGGGCTTTTCTTTTCGGTGGATTTTCTTATGTTTCTTGAGATTGCCATGATTGGAAAAGTCTTTGTTACAAATGGAACACTGAATCAGTCCTGAATGGATTTTCATATGTCTCTTTATATTGAGAAATCTCTTGTTGCAAACTGTACACTGATCATAAAGCTTTTCATCTGTGTGAGTTCTAACGTGTGCAGTCAGACTCTTTTCATAGCAATATCCTTTGTAACAATTTAACACTATGGGGCTTAAAGATGAAGTTGAGTTGTGGTCATGCGATTGCATTATGAAAGAAACGGTGTGGAATTGATAAAAAAAGGTTGATCATTTAGCATATAAGTATTGGTGTGTACTGCAAGGTTCTGGAATCATCAAAATTATAAGAAATTTGACCCAGTCTTGGTACAGTTACAAGCACTGTACACAGAAAGATGTATTATGGGACTACACAAACACGTGGCGAAAAAAAATCTGTCCCGATTTTTATGTTACATGCCATATTTAGAATATTAAAGCATTAAAAGAGCCATGGATTTCAGGGAGCATTTTGTAGCTGATGTTCTTCCACCCTTGCATCATAACGATGATAACGCTCACACATTATTTTTCACCTCTTCCCAGAACTCAACCTTCTCTTTAACGTCACTGTGAATTATCATGTGCACAAAAAAAATGATGTGAAAATGACCAGTTACGTTTTAGCCTCTTCTCCACTGCCAATTTCCATGTGTACTGACAAAATGGTCCCTTTTCTTTTGGTACCATAATAACACTTGAAACACTTTGAAAGGCCTCTCTTCTGCATGAATTTTTATATGATATCAGGAATAATCACAGCATGAAAATGCGTTGCGACAACCAGTACACCAACAGAGCTTCCCATCTGTGTACGTTTCTATGGGTTCGAAAAAAGTTAATTAAAATACCGTTTTACAGACAGAAATGGTCCTTTGCCTGTTAAGCATCCTTGAGGTTTGCATTGCATGTTCTGTCTTGTATCATGCTGGGAAGACATACAAACATTAAGTGATGTTGGAAGGGTAAAATACAAAGTACACATACATTATTAATTGAATTTGTACAAAATAAGCCGAACAAAGCGCCCATTATCAAAAGTCGTTATCAAAGGTCCCCGTAATCGGCAATTAAAAACATAATTATTTTGGCACTAGTGCAATACTAAGGAAAAACACAGGTGTTTGGGAATATAAATCAATCATATTCTCCATGGTTCTGTGCAAATCTCAAAGAATAATGTGAACATTGCTGTGTGGCTTACTCACTGCTCCTCCCACAAAGGCAAGAAAATGCCCCTTTGCATATACTTAAACCCTTTTTCTACATGAACCGTGTGGATGACCCCATAATTGCCTGCAGGAACTGGGTAGATTAACCCATTGCCGACATGAAACGTGTGGATAAACCCATTGCCTACAGGAACTGGTTGGATGAACCCATTGCCTACAGGAACTGTGTGGATAAACCCATTGCCTACAGGAACTGGTTGGATGAACCCATTGCCTACAGGAACTGTGTGGATACCCAGGACCAAAATCCAGTTGAAACCAATTGGAACAAAACCAATTGAAACCAGTTGCCAACTGGTTTCAATGGGGAAATTGGAACAACTGGTTCCAATTGAAACCAGTTGCCAACTGGTTCCAATTGAAACCAGTTGAAACCAATTGCCAACTGGTTCCAATTGAAACCAGTTGAAACCAATTGCCAACTGGTTCCAGTTGCCTAATTGGTTTCAACTGGAACCAGTTGTTCCAATTTCCCTATTGAAACCAGTTGGCTTCAATTGGTTTCAATTGGTTTCAACTGGTTTCAATTGGTTTCAACTGGTTTCAATTGGTTTCAATTGGATCCAATTGAAACTTACAGTTGGCATAAACTTAATTAGTTATAAGTTAATTAGCTCTTGCACTAATTATCGCTCATGTCAACACAGAGGCATTGTTATATGTGTCTACATTAAGTACAATGTAAAGGGCATTATAATATGCAGACCATATAATATACTTAACAAGGAAGGCATTGCCATTATATATGTTTGTATTTGATGTATTTTGTACATGGTTAGTGTTTTACTAATCAACTTTTAATCTGTGTAATTACAAAAATATGTTACTAATGAACATGCTTATCATTGCTAATTAATCTTTATATTTATCTAAAACAAATGCATTACTTGCAAATGAAAATTAATTAATAAGTACATTGTAAATCAAAATAAATTACATAAAACATTGATCTGCACACAAGCAGATAATATGCAAATTAACTGGTTTCAATTGGATCCAGTTGGGTAACTGGAAATATTTCCAATTGGAACCAATTGTGTAACTGGAAATGAATTCTAACTGGAACCAGTTGGGTAACTGGAAATTACTTCTAACTGGAAATGAATGCTAACTGGAACCAATTGGGTAACTGGAAATGAATTCTAACTGGAACCAGTTGGGTAACTGGAAATTACTTCTAACTGGAAATGAATGCTAACTGGAACCAATTGGGTAACTGGAAATAAATTCTAACTGGAACCAGTTGGGTAACTGGAAATGACTTCTAACTGGAAATGAATGCTAACTGGAACCAGTTGGGTAACTGGAAATGAATTTTAACTGGAACCAGTTGGGTTACTGGAAATGACTTCTACCTGGAACCAGTTGGGTAACTGGAAAAGACTTCTAACTGGAAATGAATGCTAACTGGAACCAGTTGGGTAACTGGAAATGACTTCTAACTGGAACCAATTGGGTAATTGGAAATGAATTTTAACTGGAACCAGTTGGGTAACTGGAAATGACTTCTAACTGGAAATGACATCTAACTGGAAATGAATGCTAACTGGAACCAGTTGGGTAACTGGAAATGAATTCTAACTGGAACCAATTGAGTAACAGGAAAATCATCTTACTGTTTCCAGTTGAACTTCTAACTGGAACCAGTTGGGTAACTGGAAATGACTTCTAACTGGAACCAATTGAGTAAATGGAAAAATTACCTTACTGGTTCCAGTTGCACTTCTTATTGGTTTGAACTGGAAATGAGTACCCATAACAATATTTTCCAGTTCGGCAATTGGTTTCAACTGGAAATTTTATACTCCAATTGAAACCAATTGAAACCAATTGAAACCAGTTGAAACCAATTGAAACCAGTTGGAGATTTCAACTGGTTTCAATTGGATTTTGGTCCTGGGTAAACCCATTGCCTACAGGAACTGGTTGGATGAACCCATTGCCTGCAGGAACCGGGTGGATGAACCCATTGCGTGCAGGAACTGGGTGGATGAACCCATTGCGTGCAGGAACTGGTTGGATGAACCCATTGCCTACAGGAACTGTGTGGATAAACCCATTGCCTACAGGAACTGGTTGGATGAACCCATTGCCTGCAGGAACCGGGTGGATGAACCCATTGCGTGCAGGAACTGGGTGGATGAACCCATTGCGTGCAGGAACTGGGTGGATGAACCCATTGCCTGCATGAACTGGGTGGATGAACCCATTGCCTACATGAAATGGGTGGATGAACCCATTGCCAGCATGAACTGGGTGGATGAACCCATTGCCTACAGGAACTGGGTGGATGAACCCATTGCGTGCAGGAACTGGGTGGATGAACCCATTGCCTGCATGAACTGGGTGGATGAACCCATTGCCTACATGAAATGGGTGGATGAACCCATTGCCCGCATGAACTGGGTAGATGAACCCATTGCCTGCAGGAACTGGGTGGATGAACCCATTGCCAGCATGAACTGGGTAGATGAACCCATTGCCTGCAGGAACTGGGCGGATGAACCCATTGCCTGCAGGAATCAGATCGATCCTGTATTATTATAAGTCTATATGGGCATGAGAGTATTCGGTAATCAATTGTCAAGTGTGGGTTTTCATATGCACTTTACAGGTACTCTTTTCCCGAAAGCTCTTGTCACAGACGGAGCACGGAAAGGGTTTTTCTCCCGTATGGATCCTCATGTGTCGTTTGCAACAACTGTTACTAGTGAATCTTTTCTCACAAATAGAACAAAAATATGGCTTTTCCCCTGTGTGAACTCTCTGATGTTCTGTCAGATAACCCCGTTCGGAAAAGGTTTTGCTACATACGGAACACTCGAAGGGCCTTTCACCTGTGTGGATTTTTATGTGCCTTGAAAGGTGATGGGTTTGGGAAAATGTTTTTTTACAAAAAGAACACTCGTAAGGCCTTTCTCCTGTGTGGATTTTATTGTGCCTTGAAAGACCTGAGGTGTTGGAAAATGCTTTGTTACAAATCAAACATACATGAGGCTTTTCTCCACTGTGAGTTGTCATATGCTTTGTATGGGTACTCTTTTCCCGAAAGCTTTTGCCACAGACGGAGCACAGAAAGGGGTTCTCTCCCGTATGGATCCTCATGTGTCGTTTGCAATAACTGTTACTAGTGAATCTTTTCTCACAAATAGAACAAAAATATGGCTTTTCCCCTGTGTGAACTCTCTGATGTTCTGTCAGATAACCCCGTTCGGAAAAGGTTTTGCTACATAAGGAACACTCGAAGGGCCTTTCACCTGTATGGGTAACTATGTGTCTTGAGAGTTGTTCAACACGACTAAAACTCACATTGCAGTACATACACTGATATGGCTTTTCGCCTGTATGGGTTCTCATATGCAGACCCAGACTAGAGTTATGGCTATATTTCTTATCACAAAGCTTACACTGATATGGCTTTTCGTTTGTATGGGTTCTCATGTGCTCTACGAGACCATTACTCCGCCTATATTTCTTATCACAAAACTTACACTCATATCTCTTTTTTCCTGTATGAACTGTCATATGTTGTGCAAGATTACCACTTGTATGAAAGCCTTTGTCGCAAACTGTACACCGATAAGGCTTTTCTCCTGTATGGATTCTCAGGTGTTCCTTTAGACTGTTCATGTACAGAAATCTCTTCTTGCAAAACGTACACTCATGGGGCTTTTCTCCTCCATGGGTTCTCTTGTGCCTATATAAACTAGGGCTGTGGGCAAATCCTTTGCTACAAACACAACAGAGAAATGTTTTTTCTTTAGTTAGGCTGCAGCTAGGATCATTTTGATCGCTTCCTTTTGCACAAATCTGGGAAGACTGATTGATCATCTCGTCATATTCCATCGTGATGTCTTCATTCCTATCTATATCCATTCCTCCAGGTTCATGAGATGAGGTGGTAGCATCCAGTGTCTCTCGGTCGGCTGCTTGTTTTTCATGAAAATAAGCCACTTGGCTTGGTATGAGACAAGAGTCATACTCACTAGGGCAACTCTCTCTTTCAGATGAATAGGATTGAGTTCCTATGCCAGCTTCTAATGGGAAATCCTCTGGAAGATGTCTCACACCGTCACATGATCTATCACCTGACATTTCCTGAGTTTTCCTCATACTTTGATGGGAGCTCTGCATTCTTGAATCCCCACCTGAGCACAAAGAGCAGGATGAAATATCTAACTTTGAGTTTAAATGGAAGCTTCCCAAGTAAGTTACATGTACTATGTAGGTACACAGATTTAATTTAAATTTTATTTAAAAACAATATAGCACCCTTTCATAAAAAAGGGTACCTGAGACATATATGTTTCAATCACAACCACATACCTAAAATGCATATATCGATATATAATTTGGTAGTTCTGTGCTCCTATCATGTGATAGATACATCTCAAGCTCAACTCTGAAGTTTGTAAAGATCTGAAATGCTTTTAAGTAGGTTGGTAAGGAATTATAGAATTAGGTCCATTAGAATAAAAACAATTTCAAATTTAATTTCCCTTAAGAACATTATCGGGTAAGGTACAGTTGAATTGAAAATATATATACTACCCTGGGCCACTCATTGTTCTTCAAATGATATTAGCCATGAACTTCACTGTAAATTATTCTGTTTGTGTGTCCTCCTTTGAGATCAAACATAAACAATTATGGTATTATTGGTATTATGGCATGGTGGCTCAGTGGTTAGAGCGCCCGCCTCATGAACGGGAGGTCGTGGGTTCGACCCCGGCCGAGTCATACCAAAGACTTATAAAAATGGGACCTTCTGCCTTCTAGCTAGGCGCTCAGCATATTAGATTGGAGAAGGGTAGTAGTAACAATTTACGTTATGCAGGGCCCGCTGGAAGAGCAGTTTCATAACTGAAGTGGCTACCCTGGATAAATAAAACGTTATTATATTATTATATTATTATTATGTACTCCAACACATTTCAATTCAGATAACCATTCAATTCCCGTGAAATGAAAGACACAGTCAAGAGTTTCAACTTGGTTTTGTGGAGAAATAAAATCTCTCTTTCGTTAAGATCATGTTACTCTGTCTGTATATTCATTATTTTTTTGGCTCATATTTTCAGGCAGTATGTATCTCCTTTATTTCCATTCTTTTTTGTTGTTGTTATTTTGGTGCACTTTATAGTTTTGCTCTTGTTCGATATCTTCCTCTTTCTCTCTTCAGATATTAAGAAAATTTCTCTGTAAGTCTCTCTTATCCTCAATTCTGTAATGTCTTCTTTAAATCTTCTCCTGATCCCTCTTTCTCTAGTTTGATCTCTCTCTTTCCCTCTCTTTCTTGCTCTCTCTTAATATTTATCTAAATTAGGCGAGGATGGATATTCAGGCAGTCACATCTCCAGTGAAATAGTAACTACCGGTACAAAATCTCCATACACACATTATTACCCAAATATGAGAATTGAGAATTGCTATAATAATAAACAAAACAACCAAGATCATGTCATCAATGTTGTCTAAAACAGGGTTTTAATCCACCTCAATGTGTGCACCATTATGTACAACCTTCCTGGACAGGTATTTTTTTAAAGGCCAAACTGATCACATGCTGTTCTTCAAATTGGCAACAATTATACATGTACTTATATTTCATTGCTACAGTGTTCTCATAAAAAGTAATGTCTATGAAGACAATAACATGTTTATATTGAGAGAAAAAAGAAGAAAAAGAAAATGGCCAATTTTCTTAGAAATCTAATGATTTAGAACCTCTCAATGTGTTGGCAATTTAAGCATTTTACAGCTTACTTCTTTTCTAAAAAACATGATAATAATAATAATTATAATAATGATAATAATCATACAGGTAATTTTCATGATTATTATTAAAATATTAGTAAAAACAATAGCAATAGTAATAATATTAATAATACTTATACTGGTGGGTTATAGTGCTTATGTCTCTCAGACTTGACAATTCTAATGCTCAAACATTATTACCCTGGCTTTAGCATGGCTGCCATTAATGAACAATTGCATTTCAAGGAATGTGGGTCGTGTGTATTAAAAATTAGATTAATGTCTTGACAAAGAACATTCATGAAACGGCGGGACTCGAGCTGCAAACCATGTGATCTACAGTCCAGTGACATATCCACAAGACCACCACAACTCCAACCATAACAAAAAATAACAAGTAAATATAAGGTTGGCAATTTTGACATAGGGTACCTGTAGGTGATACAATCTAGCACACAAAATTAGCACCATTTCATTATTAACTATTCAATATTGCAAGCTACATTTGATTTTCTTAGTTAACCTTGCTAAATATCACTTTGGCATAATTTAGAAAGCAATAGACCACTTTGGAGATGATCATGAACAAATGACCCCCAATATATTGACAGATCTTTCAAATATGGAGAGGTTTGTAGAATATTTAGCTACTGCAAAAGGGACGGAGGTGCTACATGAATACATTTTGTTTGCCATCTTGGAAAGGAAACTTCCACCTGTGTATCATAGAATGTACTACATGTACATGTAGCTGTCGGTGCATAGAATACATATATTCCACAAACATATCATGTATCCATCATTCCTATTGATGGCTTTTAAAGTTTTATTTTTACAAATTTATTTTTACAAATGACCTTCCTCTGCCCATGCACAGATACCATCTACAAAGTGGTGTACCGTACTCCTCCAAATATCATGATATTGCCTGTCATTGGTACTCTTTTTTGCCCTTGTAACAATCAGTGTTGGACAGTATTACAGTAAGGCATTATTTAAATGACTCCTTAGGAACACTCGATGTTGAAATTCTTGTATATAAAGGCAAAAAACTTGCATTGAGTCTGACCTCAAAAAAATTATATTCCTAATCTTAAATGGATAAAAGGAGCTCAGTAAACTTTTTTTCTTTGCTTTCTGTGTAGCTTTTTTCTTACCAAGCGCACTATAGGGACATGCGTATGTAATGTGTTATGCGCTATACAAGAATGGTGTACAAAGTATTATCATTAGCAGTCCAAGGACTGCCACCCATACAAAACTAACACTCATATGGCCTATCTCCTGTGTGGGACATGTATGTGCATTTTGTGGATATATTCACAGGAAATCTTTTGTTATAAATAGTAGGCTCACTTTGTTCCATAGGGTCTTCGCGTCGGAATGTTGGGTTAGTGAATAATCTATCCCTAAGTCCCGAAGAGTCAGGTGTAATGTTTGAGAAAGACACTTGTCTTATTACCAAAAGTGTTGGTTCCAGTTTACCAGGGGTTTTCTGAAAAGCCTACAGCACATCTACGAAAAGATCTTGTCTCGACCCAAAACTTACGTGATAATATCCATAAGAGTTTGTCTGAAAGCTAGCAGTTGACGTCTTCATTGTCTGATTGTATGGGCATTTTTTCAAATTATGGAGATGTAAAAAGATTTCCATACCTCAAGGACAATCTTTGAAAAAATGTGATTATAAGTATTCAATTGAGTTGACCTGTCATGATTGTTTGGGCATGTTTACACAAAAGTTTGTGTAACCCGATGTAATGCACCTGACCTTTCATGAATATTGGGGCATATGTTTTCACGATAGTTCATATAACCTGACAACCTGACCTGATACAAAGACCAGATGGAGCCAACAAGCCACAGACAGAACACCCATATGGCTTTTCACCAGTGTGACTTCTTATATGCCTTACAAGAAAGAAGTTACTGCTGAACCCTCTGTTACAAACCAATCATTTATGAGGCATTTCTGCTATGTGACTTTTCATATGCAATAGCAGGCTCTTCTCATAGCAAAACCCCTTGTTACAAACGTTACATCATTAGGACTTTTCCAAATTAGTTTCTTTGGTGTGTATCATTTTATGTCTTAAAAGAATTCTTCTTTGGGAAAATACTTTGTTACAAATCAAACATACATGAGGCTTTTCTCCACTGTGAGTTGTCATATGGTTTGTATGGGTACTCTTTTCCCGAAAGCTTTTGTCACAGATGGAGCATGGAAAGGGTTTTTCTCCCGTATGGATCCTCATGTGTCGTTTGCAATAACTGTTACTAGTGAACCTTTTCTCACAAATGGAACAAAAATATGGCTTTTCTCCTGTGTGAATTTTCTGATGATCTGTCAGATAACCCCGTTCTGAAAAGGTTTTGCTACATACAGAACACTCGAAGGGCTTTTCACCTGTGTGGATTTTTATGTGCCTTGAAAGGTGATGGGTTTGGGAAAATGTTTTTTTACAAAAAGAACACTCGTAAGGCCTTTCTCGTGTGTGGATTTTATTGTGCCTTGAAAGACCTGCAGTGTTGGAAAATGTTTTGTTGCAAATAAAACACTCGAAAGGCTTTTCTCCTGTATGGGATCTTATGTGTATTGAGAGCATATAACCACAACTAAATCTCACATTGCAGTACGTACACTGATATGGCTTTTCGCCTGTATGGGTTCTCAAGTGCTCATGCAGACCATTACTCCGGGAGTATTTCTTATCACAACATTTACACTGATATGACTTTTCTCCCATGTGAACTTTAATATGTTGTGTGAGATGACCCCTTTCATTAAAGCCTCTGTCACAAACCGTACACTCATGTGGCTTCTCTCCTCCATGGATTTTCATGTGTCTAGACAAGCTAGACCTGAAGGTAAAACCTTTGCTACAAACACTACAGAGAAAGGGTTTATCTTTAGTTAGGCTGCAGCTAGGATCATTTTGATTGCTTCCTGTTGCATGAAGCTCGGAAGACTGATTGATCGTCTCATCATATTCCATCATGATGTCTGTATTCCTATCTATATCCATTCCTCCATGTTTATGAGATGACGTGGTAGCATCCAGTGTCTCTCTGTCAGCTGCTCGTTTTTCATGAAAATAAGCCACTTGGCTTGGTATGAGACAAGAGTCATACTCACTAGGGCAACTCTCTCTTTCAGATGAATCGGATTGAGTTCCTATGCCAGCTTCTACCGGTAATGGGATATCCTCTGGAAGACTCAAACGTCTTTCCCCATCACGTGATCTATCACCTGACATTTCCTGAGTTTTCCTCATACTTTGATAGGAGCTCTGCATTCTTGTATTCCCACCTGAGCACAAAGAGCAGAATGAAATATCTAAGTTTAAGTTTAAATGGAAGCTTCCCAAGTAAGTTACATGTAGGTACACAGACAACTATAACAGAGTACTGGTGTTCACTTTGTTTTCTTTTTATAAAAGGAAACATTTAACATTCAGATGTAAATTTGATTTAAAATCAATATAGCACCCTTTCATAAAAAAGGGTACCTGGGACATACTGTATATGTTTCAATAACAACCACATACCCAAAATGTGTCCTCCTTTGAGATCAAACATCAACAATTATGGTATAATTGGTATTATGGCATGGTGGCTCAGTGGTTAGAGTGCCCGCCTCATGAAAGGGAGGTCGTGGGTTCGAACCCCGGCCGAGTCATACCCAAAGACTTATAAAAATGGGACCTTCTGCCTTCTAGCTAGGCGCTCAGCATATTAGATTGGAGAAGGGTAGTAGTAACATATTATGTTATGCAGGGCCCGCTGGAAGAGCAGTTTTATAACTGCAGTGGCTACCCTGGATAAATAAAACGTTATTATATCATCATATTATTATATTATGTACTCCCAACACATTTCAATTCAGATAACCATTCAATTCCCGTGAAATAAAAGACACAGTCAAAAGTTTCAACTTGGTTTTGTGGAGAAATAAAGTCTCTCTTTCGTTAAGATCATGTTACTCTGTCTGTATATTCATTATTTTTTTGGCTCATATTTTCAGGCCGTATGTATCTCCTTTATTTCCATTCTTTTTTGTTGTTGTTATTTTGGTGCACATTATAGTTTTGCTCTTGTTCGATATCTTCCTCTTTCTCTCTTCAGATATTAAGAAAATTTCTCTGTAAGTCTCTCTTATCCTCAATTCTGTAATGTCTTCTTTAAATCTTCTCCTGATCCCTCTTTCTCTAGTTTGATCTCTCTCTTTCTCTCTCTTTCTCTCTCTTTCTTGCTCTCTCTTAATATTTATCTAAATTAGGCGAGGATGGATATTCAGGCAGTCACATCTCCAGTGAAATAGTAACTACAAAATCTCCATACACACATTATTACCCAAATATGAGAATTGAGAATTGCTATAAAAAATAAACAAAACAACCAAGATCATGTCATTAATGTTGTCTAAAACAGGGTTTTAATCCACCTCAATGTGTGCACCATTATGTACAACCTTCCAGGACAGGTATTTTTTTAAAGGCTAAACTGATCACATGCTGTTCTTCAAATTGGCAACAATTATACATGTATTTATATCTCATTGCTACAGTGTATAATAAAAAGTAATATCTATGAAAACAATAACATGTTTATATTGAGAGAAAAAAGAAGAAAAAGAAAATGGCGAAGTTTCTTAGAAATCTAATGATTTAGAACCTCTCAATGTGTTGGCAATTTAAGCATTTTACAGCTTACTTCTTTTCTAAAAAACATGATAATAATAACAACAATTATTATTATTATCATAGTGATAATTATAATAATTATAATAATGATAATAATCATACAGGTAATTTTCTTGATTATTATTAAAATAATATTAACAACAATAACAATAGTAATAATATTAATAATACTTATACTGGTGGGTTATAGTGCTTATGTCTCTCAGACTTGACAATCCTAATGCTCAAACATTATTACCCTGGCTTTAGCATGGCTGCCATTAATGAACAATTGCATTTCAAGGAATCTGGGTCGTGTGTATTAAAAATTAGATTAATGTCTTGACAAAGAACATTCATGAAACGGCGGGACTCGAGCTGCAAACCATGTGATCTACAGTCCAGTGACATATCCACAAGACCACCACAACTCCAACCATAACAAAAAATAACAAGTAAATATAAGGTTGGCAATCTTGACATAGGGTACCTGTAGGTGATACAATCTAGCACACAAAATTAGCACCATTTCATTATTAACTATTCAATATTGCAAGCTACATTTTATTTTCTTAGTTAACCTTGCTAAATATCACTTTGGCATAATTTAGAAAGCAATAGACCACTTTGGAGATGATCATGAACAAATGCCCCCAATATATTGACAGATCTTTCAAATATGGAGAGGTTTGTAGAATATTTAGCTACTGCAAAAGGGACGGAGGTGCTACATGAATACATTTTGTTTGCCATCTTGGAAAGGAAACTTCCACCTGTGTATCATAGAATGTACTACATGTACATGTAGCTGTCGGTGCATAGAATACATATATTCCACAAACATATCATGTATCCAGCATTCCTATTGATGGCTTTTAAAGTTTTATTTTTACAAATTTATTTTTACAAATGACCTTCCTCTGCCCATGCACAGATACCATCTACAAAGTGGTGTACCGTACTCCTCCAAATATCATGCTATTGCCTGTCATTGGTACTCTTTTTTGCCCTTGTAACAATCAGTGTTGGACAGTATTACAGTAAGGCATTATTTAAATGACTCCTTAGAAACACTCGATGTTGAATTCTTGTATATAAAGGCAAAAAACTTGCATTGAGTCTGACCTCAAAAAAATTATATTCCTAATCTTAAATGGATAAAAGGAGCTCAGTAAACTTTTTTTCTTTGCTTTCTGTGTAGCTTTTTTCTTACCAAGCGCACTATAGGGACATGCGTATGTAATGTGTTATGCGCTATACAAGAATGGTGTACAAAGTATTATCATTAGCAGTCCAAGGACTGCCACCCATACAAAACTAACACTCATATGGCCTATCTCCTGTGTGGGACATGTATGTGCATTTTGTGGATATATTCACAGGAAATCTTTTGTTATAAATAGTAGGCTCACTTTGTTCCATAGGGTCTTCGCGTCGGAATGTTGGGTTAGTGAATAATCTATCCCTAAGTCCCGAAGAGTCAGGTGTAATGTTTGAGAAAGACACTTGTCTTATTACCAAAAGTGTTGGTTCCAGTTTACCAGGGGTTTTCTGAAAAGCCTACAGCACATCTACGAAAAGATCTTGTCTCGACCCAAAACTTACGTGATAATATCCATAAGAGTTTGTCTGAAAGCTAGCAGTTGACGTCTTCATTGTCTGATTGTATGGGCATTTTTTCCAAATTATGGAGATGTAAAAAGATTTCCCGCATATCTCAAGGACAATCTTTGAAAAAATGTAATTATTAGTATTCAATTGAGTTGACTGTCATGATTGTTTGGGCATGTTTACACAAAAGTTTGTGTAAACCGACGTGATGCACCTGACCTTTCATCAATATGGGGGCATGTGTTTTCACGATAATTCATGTAACCCGACAACCTGACCTGATACAAAGACCAGATGGAGCCAACAAGCCACAGACAGAACACCCATAGGGCTTTTCACCAGTGTGACTTCTTATATGCCTTACAAAAAAGAAGTTACTGCTGAACCCTCTGTTACAAACCAATCATTTATGAGGCATTTCTGCTATGTGACTTTTCATATGCAATAGCAGGCTCTTCTCATAGCAAAACCCCTTGTTACAAACGTTACATCATTAGGACTTTTCCAAATTAGTTTCTTTGGTGTGTATCATTTTATGTCTTAAAAGAATTCTTCTTTGGGAAAATACTTTGTTACAAATCAAACATACATGAGGCTTTTCTCCACTGTGAGTTGTCATATGGTTTGTATGGGTACTCTTTTCCCGAAAGCTTTTGTCACAGATGGAGCATGGAAAGGGTTTTTCTCCCGTATGGATCCTCATGTGTCGTTTGCAATAACTGTTACTAGTGAACCTTTTCTCACAAATGGAACAAAAATATGGCTTTTCTCCTGTGTGAATTTTCTGATGATCTGTCAGATAACCCCGTTCTGAAAAGGTTTTGCTACATACAGAACACTCGAAGGGCTTTTCACCTGTGTGGATTTTTATGTGCCTTGAAAGGTGATGGGTTTGGGAAAATGTTTTTTTACAAAAAGAACACTCGTAAGGCCTTTCTCGTGTGTGGATTTTATTGTGCCTTGAAAGACCTGCAGTGTTGGAAAATGTTTTGTTGCAAATAAAACACTCGAAAGGCTTTTCTCCTGTATGGGATCTTATGTGTATTGAGAGCATATAACCACAACTAAATCTCACATTGCAGTACGTACACTGATATGGCTTTTCGCCTGTATGGGTTCTCAAGTGCTCATGCAGACCATTACTCCGGGAGTATTTCTTATCACAACATTTACACTGATATGACTTTTCTCCCATGTGAACTTTAATATGTTGTGTGAGATGACCCCTTTCATTAAAGCCTCTGTCACAAACCGTACACTCATGTGGCTTCTCTCCTCCATGGATTTTCATGTGTCTAGACAAGCTAGACCTGAAGGTAAAACCTTTGCTACAAACACTACAGAGAAAGGGTTTATCTTTAGTTAGGCTGCAGCTAGGATCATTTTGATTGCTTCCTGTTGCACGAAGCTCGGAAGACTGATTGATCGTCTCATCATATTCCATCATGATGTCTGTATTCCTATCTATATCCATTCCTCCATGTTTATGAGATGACGTGGTAGCATCCAGTGTCTCTCTGTCAGCTGCTCGTTTTTCATGAAAATAAGCCACTTGGCTTGGTATGAGACAAGAGTCATACTCACTAGGGCAACTCTCTCTTTCAGATGAATCGGATTGAGTTCCTATGCCAGCTTCTACCGGTAATGGGATATCCTCTGGAAGACTCGAACGTCTAATTTCCCCATCACGTGATCTATCACCTGACATTTCCTGAGTTTTCCTCATACTTTGATAGGAGCTCTGCATTCTTGTATTCCCACCTGAGCACAAAGAGCAGAATGAAATATCTAAGTTTAAGTTTAAATGGAAGCTTCCCAAGTAAGTTACATGTAGGTACACAGACAACTATAACAGGGTACTGGTGTTCACTTTGTTTTCTTTTTATAAAAGGAAACATTTAACATTCAGATGTAAATTTGATTTAAAAACAATATAGCACCCTTTCATAAAAAAGGGTACCTGGGACATACTGTATATGTTTCAATAACAACCACATACCCAAAATGTGTCCTCCTTTGAGATCAAACATCAACAATTATGGTATAATTGGTATTATGGCATGGTGGCTCAGTGGTTAGAGCGCCTGCCTCATGAAAGGGAGGTCGTGGGTTCGACCCCGGCCGAGCCATACCAAAGACTTATAAAAATGGGACCTTCTGCCTTCTAGCTAGGCGCTCAGCATATTAGATTGGAGAAGGGTAGTAGTAACATATTATGTTATGCAGGGCCCGCTGGAAGAGCAGTTTTATAACTGCAGTGGCTACCCTGGATAAATAAAACGTTATTATATTATTATATTATTATATTATGTACTCCCAACACATTTCAATTCAGATAACCATTCAATTCCCGTGAAATAAAAGACACAGTCAAGAGTTCAACTTGGTTTTGTGGAGAAATAAAATCTCTCTTTCGTTAAGATCATGTTACTCTGTCTGTATATTCATTATTTTTTTGGCTCATATTTTCAGGCCGTATGTATCTCCTTTATTTCCATTCTTTGTTGTTGTTGTTATTTTGGTGCACTTTATAGTTTTGCTCTTGTTCGGTATCTTCCTCTTTCTCTCTTCAGATATTAAGAAAATTTCTCTGTAAGTCTCTCTTATCCTCAATTCTGTAATGTCTTCTTTAAATCTTCTCCTGATCCCTCTTTCTCTAGTTTGACCTCTCTCTCTCTCTCTCTCTCTTTCTTGCTCTCTCTTAATATTTATCTAAATTAGGTGAGGATGGATATTCAGGCAGTCACATCTCCAGTGAAATAGTAACTACAAAATCTCCATAAACACATCATTACCCAAATATGAGAATTGAGAATTGGTATAAAAATAAACAAAACAACCAAGATCATGTCATTAATTTTGTCTAAAACAGGGTTTTAATCCACCTCAATGTGTGCACCATTATGTACAACCTTCCGGGACAGGTATTTTCTTAAAGGCTAAACTGATCACATGCTGTTCTTCAAATTGGCAATTATACATGTACTTATATTTCATTGCTCCAGTGTATAATAAAAAGTAATATCTATGAAGACAATAACATGTTTATATTGAGAGAAAAAAGAAGAAAAAGAAAATGGCCAAGTTTCTTAGAAATCTAATGATTTAGAACCTCTCAATGTGTTGGCAATTTAAGTATTTTACAGCTTACTTCATTTCTAAAAAACATGATAATAATAATAACAATAATTATTATTATTATCATAGTGATAATTATGATAATTATAATAATGATAATAATCATACAGGTAATTTTCATGATTATTATTAAAATAATAGTAACAACAATAGCAATAGTAATAATATTAATAATACTTATAATAGTGGGTTATAGTGCTTATGTCTGTCAGACTTGACAATCCTAATGCTCTAACATTATTACCCTGGCTTTAGCATGGCTGCCGTTAATGAACAATTGCATTTCAAGGAATCTGGGTCGTGTGTATTAAAAATCAGATTAATGTCTTGACAAAGAACATTCATGAAACGGCGGGACTCGAGCTGCAAACCTTGTGATCTACAGTCCAGTGACATATCCACAAGACCACCACAACTCCAACAATAACAAAAAATAACAAGTAAATATAAGGTTGGCAATCTTGACATAGGGTACCTGTAGGTGATACAATCTAGCACACAAAATTAGCACCATTTCATTATTAACTATTCAATATTGCAAGCTACATTTGATTTTCTTAGTTAACCTTGCTAAATATCACTTTGGCATAATTTAGAAAGCAATAGACCATTTTGGAGATAGATCATGAAAAAAATGACCCCAAAAATATTGACAGAACTTTCAAACATGGAGTGGTTTGTAGAATATTTAGTTACGGTACTGCGAAAGGGATGGAGGTGCTACCCGAATACATTTTGTTTGCCATCTTGAAAAGGAAACTTCCACCTGTGTATCATAGAATGTACTACATGTACATGTAGCTGTCAGTGCAAAGATTACATATATGTACATTCCACAAACATATCATGTATCCAGCATTCCTATTGATGGCTTTTAAAGTTTTATTTTTACAAATTTATTTTTACAAATGACCTTCCTCTGCCCATGCACAGATACCATCTACAAAGTGGTGTACTGTACTCCTCTAAATATCATGATATTGCCTTTCATTGGTACTCTCTTTTGCCCTTGTAACAATCAGTGTTGGACAGTATAACAGTAAGGCATTATTTAAATGACTCCTTAGGAACACTCGATGTTGAAATTCTTGTATATAAGGGCAAAAAACTTGCATTGAGTCTGACCTCAAAAAAATTATATTCCTAATCTTAAATGGATAGAAGGAACTCAGTAACCTTTTTTTCTTTGCTTTCTGTGTAGCTTTTTTCTTACCAAGCGCACTATAGGGACATGCGTATGTAATGTCTTATGCGCTATACAAGAATAGTGTACAAAGTATTATCATTAGCAGTCCAAGGACTGCCACCCATACAAAACTAACACTCATACGGCCTATCTCCTGTGTGGGACATGTATGTGCATTTTGTGGATATATTCACAGGAAATCTTTTGTTTTAAATAGTAGGCTCACTTTGTTCCATAGGGTCTTCGCGTCAGGTTGTTGGGTTACACAAACTATTGTGAATAATCTATTCCTAAGTCCCGAAGAGTCAGGTGTAATGTTTGATAAAGACACTTGTCTAAAAATCACCAAAAGTGTTGGTTCCAGTTTACCAGGGTTTTTCTGAAAAACCTACAGCAAATGTACAAACAAAATTTGTCTCGACCCCACATTAACGAATAATATTCACAAGAATTTGTCAAAAAGCTAGCAGTTGACACTTCTTCATTGTCTGATTGTATGGGCGTTTTTTCCAATAATAAAATGTAAAAAGATTTCCATATCTCAAGGAAAATCTTTGAAAAAATGTAATTATTAGTATTCAATTGAGTTGACTGTCATGATTGTTTGGGCATGTTTACACAAAAGTTTGTGTAACCCGACGTGATGCACCCGACCTTTCATCAATATGGGGGCATATGTTTTCACGATAGTTCATGTAACCTGACAACCTGTCCTGATACAAAGACCAGATGGAGCCAACAAGCCACAGACAGAACACCCATAGGGCTTTTCACCAGTGTGACTTCTTATATGCCTTACAAGAAAGAAGTTTCTGCTGAACCCTCCGTTACAAACCAATCATTTATGAGGCATTTCTGCTATGTGACTTTTCATATGCAATAGCAGGCTCTTCTCATGGCAAAACCCCTTGTTTACAAACATTACATCATTAGGACTTTTCCAAATTAGTTTCTTTGGTGTGTATCATTTTATGTCTTAAAAGAGTTCTTCTTTGGGAAAATGCTTTGTTACAAATCAAACATACATGAGGCTTTTCTCCACTGTGAGTTGTCATATGCTTTGTATGGGTACTCTTTTCCCGAAAGCTTTTGTCACAGATGGAGCATGGAAAGGGTTTTTCTCCTGTATGGATCCTCATGTGTCGTTTGCAATAACAGTTACTAGTGAACCTTTTCTCACAAATGGAACAAATATATGGCTTTTCTCCTGTGTGAACTTTCTGATGTTCTGTCAGATACCATCGTTCAGAAAAGGTTTTGCTACATACAGAACACTCAAAGGGCCTTTCTCCTGTGTGGATTTTTATGTGCGTTGAAAGGTGGTGGGTTTGGGAAAATGTTTTTTTACAAAAAGAACACTCGTAAGGCTTCTCTCCTGTGTGGACTTTCATGTGCCTTGAAAGGTGACCGCTGGTGGAAAGTGATTTTTGACAAAAAGAACACTTGTAAGGCATTTCTCCTGTATAGGATCCTGTATGGGATCTTATATGTCTTGAGAGCTCATCAACACGACTAAATGTCAAATCACAGACCATACACTGATGTGGTTTCTTGCTTGGGGCCTTTTCTCTTCCATGGATTTTCATGTGCCTAGACAACCTAGACTTGAAGTAAAAACCTTTGCTACAAACACGGCAGAGAAAGCGTTTTTCTTCAGTTAGCCTGCAGCTAGGATCATTTTGATCGCTTCCTGTTGCATGAAGCTGGGAAGACTGATTGATCATCTCATCATATTCCATCGTGATGTCTTCATTCCTATCTATATCCATTCCTTCAGGTTTATGAGATGACGTGGTAGCATCCAGTGTCTCTCTGTCAGCTGCTCGCTTTTCATGAAAATAAGGCACTTGGCTTGGTATGAGATAAGAATCATTCTCACTTGTACAACTCTCTCTTTCAGATGAATCGGATTGAGTTCCTAAGTAATCTTGTAATGGGAAATCCTCTGGAAGATGTCTTGCACCGTCACATGATCTATCACCTGACATTTCCTGAGTGTTTCTTTGATAGGAGCTCTGCAAACTTGAATCCCCACCTGAGCACAAAGAGCAGGATGAAATATGTATCTTTGATTTGAATGGAAGCTTCTCGAGTAAGGCTATCAGTACATGCAGACAACTATAACAGGGTACTGGTGTTCGCTTTTTTTTTTAAACAAAAGAAAGCATTTAACGTTAAAATGTAAACTTGATTTTGAAAACAATGGCGGCCTTTCATAAAAAAGCTGTACCTGAAACATGTTTCTATCACAGCCAAATACCCACAATCCATGTATGTAAAACTGTGCTCCTATTAACTCAAGAAGGCTATTAAAGCCCCACTGCACTACTTACAGCTACTTGCGCCCTCTTTATTCATGTAGCAAACAATGCCTAATCAGTGACCATTGGTCCCCCATTATCCTATTTTCAATATGTTAAGTGGGAGCTGATTTGATGAGATAACCACCTGTCAGTGACATTGCAGGGTGGTCTAATCCCTCCTGTAAACTAGTACAGATGGGCATCAAACATTTCTGTGGAAACCTTTTTGAATACAGCCCTGTTTACAATTATAGTATTAAGTATGCGAGGGGCATTTTCTTGCATTTGTAGGAGTGGTGAGATTAACCACAGCATTGTTCACATTATTCTCTGAGATATGCAGAGAACCCTGGAGAATATGATTGATTTAGTATTCCCAACACCTGTGTTTTTCCTTAGTATTCCTCTAGTGCCAAAATAATTATGTTATCAATTGCCAGTTTTGGGGACCTTGAAGTTGTCAAACCTTAAAGGAGAATGAAACCCTTCATTGTAACCTACGTCATTATGTAGAGGACATTTAAACTCACATTTTCATACAACAATCAGGTTTGTAGGATATGTATACCATATTCACTAAAGTTCCCAAAATAAGAAGATGGTTATCGTCGGCTATAAGTTCAGAAGGGAGCTGCCATTATGACGTATTTGCGCTGTACTCCACCGGTACCACGGCCTTTACAGTGACCAATTTGCCGAAGTTGTCTACGGGAGGATATGTGTGCAATTTGCAAGGCTTGCATACAGGGACCAAGCCTCAAACTATTCTCATTTCGAACGGAAATAGCTGCTGACCATCCATAATAATTAATAGTGAAACACCACAAGTACAAAACAAACTTTGAATTCTATTTTTGTTTTTGATGATTGAAATAGATAACCTGGCTTTATCCCAGCTCAGCTGCCTTAACCCAATTTAGCCCAGGCTATTTTGAAACTGCATAGCCCGAGAGGCTTCTAAGGCCCCCCCCCCATGATCTCGGCCGTGAAACGACCGATCGCCACGAAAATTTGCATACATGTCAAGTGAAGTGTATAGAATACTATGATAATTTCAACTTTTTGAAAAATTCACTCAATTGCATATTTATGGTAATTTATGCAAATAAGGTCATCAAATTCACATTTTTGCCCATGAATTAGACATTATTCATATTTAAGCATTCTTTCTCACTACATATATTTGTTAGACCATTTGGAATTATAATACAACACAAAAAATTGAAAAACCAGGGTTATTCCTTATGTTATCTATTGTTTTGATAATTTCTTATGTATTTCTTTGTTTTTTTAACTTATGTATTTTATTGTTTTTGTTGTTTTATTTTATTTCCATCTATAATTCAACTATTTTGACCCCAAAATAAACACCGAAACTATAAACAAGACCAAATAACCAATGTTTTATCTCTTTATTTGAAAAATGAGATTTCCATATGTTTTGTACACAAATCACAAAAACGAGCGATTTTTGGGCTGACATGCAAAGACAAAAGGACACGTGACTTTGTAATGGTAGGTCCGATTTTCGAAAAATTTCTTTCAAAAGATGCGCAAGACTCAAAAGAAAAAATTCACAAAATTTCAGTGCAAGATTTTCTTGCGTTAAAAAATTAACGCGAAAAATGTCGCAAAGCCCCCCCCCCCCCCCCCCCCCCCCCTCCAGGCCCCCAGGCTAAATAGGGTTAAGGTGCTCAAAGCTTTCGTTGAAACTCTTACCAGGTGCCCACTTACTACACCTACATGTAGGTGGAAAGTAGGAATGTCTTGCTAATTATTGGACATTAATAACATGGGGGGGGGGGGGGGCTCAAGCCATATGATGATGATCCTCAGTTTGGTGAGACATGTTTGCCCAAATTACATGTAGCTATGTGTGAAAAGATGTCTTTTTCACCTCTTCATTGATTTGGGATATTTTAGAGGTTTGTGATGTACTACATGCCTACCCTGTTTTGTTTCACTGTCTGTGTGTAACAAAGGGTTCACACAAAAGAGTGAAATAAAACCATATCTTTTACCGTCAACAACCATGGTCGAGGACCCATACCAGAGAAAAGCTGTATGGGTGTTCAATGTGTCACAAAGCTTTCGCCTAAGTAGTACATACATGTATGACAACCATTACCACACTGGTTAGTGAATGTGAGAGTTTATTTTCTCCCCCATGTAGCAAGAGTGATGGAATTTGCCACAGTAAGGTGTGTATGAGTATGAGAACTCCACAGAACTCTTGAAAGTCCCACATTGGGGAATCAGTATCTCAACTTTTAGATATGAATTTTAGATAAGTTTACACTCCGAAGCACCTTTCCCACATGAAATGTAAAGTTGACATAAATTGATACCCACCTGATTTGTACAATAATACATGTAGCTGTGAGAAACAATGTTCATTTGTCCTTATTGCCTCACTGAGCTAGGGTAGGGACAGTTTTGTGATGCACTCTTAAGCTTATCTCCTACTTTGGTCATGACTTTAAAGTTTAAACCCATTGCCTACAGGAACTGGGTGGATAAACCCATTGCCTACATGAACTGTGTGGATAAACCCATTGCCTACAGGAACTGGTTGGATGAACCCATTGCCTACAGGAACTAGGTGGATGGACCCATTGCCTACAGGAACTGGTTGGATGAACCCATTGCCTACAGGAACTGGTTGGATGAACCCATTGCCTACAGGAACTGGTTGGATGAACCCATTGCCTGCAGGAACTGGGTGGATGAACCCATTGCCTACAGGAACTAGGTGGATGGACCCATTGCCTACAGGAACTGTGTGGATAAACCCATTGCCTACAGGAACTGGTTGGATGAACCCATTGCCTACAGGAACTAGGTGGATGGACCCATTGCCTACAGGAACTGGTTGGATGAACCCATTGCCTACAGGAACTGGTTGGATGAACCCATTGCCTACAGGAACTGGTTGGATGAACCCATTGCCTGCAGGAACTGGGTGGATGAACCCATTGCCTACAGGAACTAGGTGGATGGACCCATTGCCTACAGGAACTGGTTGGATGAACCCATTGCCTACAGGAACTAGGTGGATAAACCCATTGCCTACAGGAACTGGTTGGATGAACCCATTGCCTACAGGAACTAGGTGGATAAACCCATTGCCTACAGGAACTAGGTGGATGGACTCATTGCCTGCAGGAACTGGGTGGATGAACCCATTGCCTACAGGAACCGGGTGGATCCTGTATAAAGTCTATGGACATGAGAGAATTCAGTAATCAATTGTCAAGTGTGGGTTTTCATATGCTTCTTACGGGTACTTTTTTCCCTGAAGCTCTTGTCACAGACGGAGCATGTAAAGGGTTTTTCTCCAGTGTGAATTGTCAAATGATGAGTAAGAGAAGCATTGCGGGTAAAGCTTTTGCTACATACAGAACACTCAAAGGGCTTTTCACCTGTGTGGAATTTTATGTGACTTGAAAGGTGATGGGTTTGGGAAAATGTTTTTTTACAAAAAGAACACTCGTAAGGCCTTTCTCCTGTGTGGGATCTTATGTGCCTTGAAAGGTGACCCCTGCTGGAAAATGATTTTTGACAAAAAGAACACTTGTATGGCTTTTCTCCTGTATGGATTCTCATGTGTTCGTTTAGAGGGTTAATGTACATAAATCTCTTGCTGCAAAACATACACTCATGGGGCTTTTCTCCTCCATGGATTGTCATGTGTCTAGACAAACTAATCCTGAGGGCAAATCCTTTGCTACAAACACAACAGAGAAAGGGTTTTTCTTTAGCTAGGCTGCAGCTAGGATCATTTTGAACGCTTCCTGTTGCACAAAGCTGGGAAGACTGATTGATCGTCTCATCAAGTTCCATCATGATGTCTTCATTCCTCTCTTTATCCATTCCTCCAGGTTTATGATATGACGTGGTAGCATCAGGTGTCTCTCTGTTAGCTGCTCGTTTTTCATGAAAATAAGGCACTTGGCTTGGTATGATATAAGAGTTATTCTCACTTGTGCAACTCTCTCTTTCAGATGAATCGGATTGAGTTCCTAAGTAATCTTGTAATGGGAAATCCTCCGGAAGATGTCTTGCACCGTTACATGACCTATCACCTGACATTTCCTGACTGTTTCTCATACTTTGATAGGAGCTCTGCAAACTTGAATCCCCACCTGAGCACAAAGAGCAGGATGAAATATGTTTTTTTGATTTGAAATGGAAGCTTCTCAATTAAGCTATCTGTGCATGCAGACAACTATAACAGGGTATTGGTTTTCACTTTTTTTTAAACAAAAGGAAACATTTTACGTTCAAATGTAAACTTGATTTTGAAAACAATGGCGGCCTTTCAGACATGTTTCTATCACAGCCACATACCCAAAATGCATGTATGTAAACTGTGCTCCTATTACCTCAAGAAGGCTATTAAAGCCCCACTGCACAACATACAGCTATTTGCACCCTCTATATACATGTACATGTAACACACAATGCCTAATCCGTGACCATTGGTCCCCTATGATCCTCTTTTTTGTATGTTAAGTGAGAGCTGATGTGATGAGATAACCACCCGTCAGTGACCTTGCAGGTCGGTCTAATCCCTCCTGTAAAGTATTACAGATGGGCTTTAAATATTTTTGAGGAAACCTTTTTCCATACAGCCCTGTTCACAAGTATAGTATTAAGTATGCGAGGGGGCAATTTCTTGCCTTTGTAGGAGGAGCAATGAGATTAGCCACAGCAATGTTAACATTATTCTCCGAGATACCAGGAAAACCCTTGAGAATATGATTGATTTAATATTCCCAACACCTTTTTTTTTCCTTAGTATTCCTCTAGTGCCAAAATAATTATGTTATCAATTGCCAGTTTTGGGGACCTTCAAGTTGTCAAACCTTAAAGGAGAATAAAACCCTTCATTCAGTTCATTGTAACCTACATCATTATGTAGAGGACATTTAAACTCACATTTTCATACAACGATCAGGTTCGTAGGATATGTATACCATTTTCACTAAAGTTCCTAAAATAAGAGATGGTTAGCGTCGGCTATAAGTTCAGAAGGGAGCTGTTATTATGACGTAACTGTGCTGTACTCCGCCAGTACCACGGCCTTTACAGCGACCAATTTGCCAAAGTTGACTATGGGAGGATATGCGTGCAATTCGCAGGGCTTACATACAGGGACCAAGCCTCATGCCATTCTCATTTCCTGAATGGTATACACCGGTTCGAATGCGAACAGCTGCTGATCATTCATAATAATTAATAGTGAAACACCACGAGTACAAAACAAACTTTGATTTCTATTTTTGTTTTTGATGATTGAAATAGATAACCTGGCTTTATCCCAGCTCAGCTGCCTTAAGGTGCTCAAAGCTTTTGTTGAAACTCCTACCAGGTACCCACTTACTACACCTACATGTAGGTGGGTAGTAGGAATGTCTTGCTAATTATAGGACATTAATAACATGGGGGGACTCAAGCCATGTGATCCTCAGTCTGGTGAGACATACCTGTTTGCCCATGACACCCCTACTCAAATTACATGTAGCTTGTGTGAAAAGATGTCCTTTTCACCTCCTCGTTGATCTGGGATATTTTGGAGGTTTTTGATGCACTACATGCCTACCAATACCCTTTTTTTGTTTCACTGTCTGTGTGTAACAAAGGGTTCACACAAAAGAGTGAAATAAAACCACATCTTTTACCGTCAACAACCATGGTAGTGCACACGAGGACCCATACCAGAGAAAAGCTGTATGAGTGTTCAATGGGTCAAAAAAGCTTTCGCCTAAGTAGTACGTATGACAAACATTACCACACTCACACTGGTAAGTGAATGTGAGAGTTTATTTTCTCCCCCATGTAGCAGGAGGGATGAAATTTGCCACAGTAAGGTGTGTATGATTATGAGAACTCCACAGAACTCTTGAAAGTCCCACATTGAGGAATCAGTATCTCAACTTTTAGATATGAATTTTAGATAAGTTTACACTCTGAAGCACCTTTCCCACATGAAATGTAAAGTTGACATAAATTGATATCCACCTGATTTATACAATGATACAGTGTACATGTAGCTGTGAGAAACGATGTTCATTTGTCCTTCTTGCCTCCCTGAGCTAGGGTAGGGACAGTTTTGTGCTGCACTCTTAAGCTTATCTCCTACTTTGGTCATGACCTTAAAGTTTAAACCCATTGCCTACAGGAACTGGGTGGATAAACCCATTGCCTACATGAACTATGTGGATAAACCCATTGCCTACATGAACTGTGTGGATAAACCCATTGCCTACAGGAACTAGGTGGATAAACCCATTGCCTGCAGGAACTGGGTGGATGAACCCATTGCCTACAGGAACTGGGTGGATCCTGTATAAAGTCTATGGACATGAGAGAATTCAGTTATCAATTGTCAAGTGTGGGTTTTCATATGCTTTGTACGGGTACTTTTTTCCCTGAAGCTCTTGTCACAGACGGAGCATGTAAAGGGTTTTTCTCCAGTGTGAATTGTCAAATGATGAGTAAGAGAAGCATTGCGGGTAAAGCTTTTGCTACATACAGAACACTCAAAGGGCTTTTCACCTGTGTGGAATTTTATGTGACTTGAAAGGTGATGGGTTTGGGAAAATGTTTTTTTACAAAAAGAACACTCGTAAGGCCTTTCTCCTGTGTGGGATCTTATGTGCCTTGAAAGGTGACCCCTGCTGGAAAATGATTTTTGACAAAAAGAACACTTGTAAGGCTTTTCTCCTGTATGGACTCTCAGGTGTTCCTTTAGAGGGTTAATGTACATAAATCTCTTGCTGCAAAACATACACTCATGGGGCTTTTCTCCTCCATGGATTGTCATGTGTCTAGACAAACTAATCCTGAGGGCAAATCCTTTGCTACAAACACAACAGAGAAAGGGTTTTTCTTTAGCTAGGCTGCAGCTAGGATCATTTTGAACGCTTCCTGTTGCACAAAGCTGGGAAGACTGATTGATCGTCTCATCAAATTCCATCATGATGTCTTCATTCCTATCTTTATCCATTCCTCCAGGTTTATGATATGACGTGGTAGCATCAGGTGTCTCTCTGTTAGCTGCCCGTTTTTCATGAAAATAAGGCACTTGGCTTGGTATGATATAAGAGTTATTCTCACTTGTGCAACTCTCTCTTTCAGATGAATCGGATTGAGTTCCTAAGTAATCTTGTAATGGGAAATCCTCTGGAAGATGTCTTGCACCGTCACATGATTTATCATCTGACATTTCCTGACTGTTTCTCATACTTTGATAGGAGCTCTGCAAACTTGAATCCCCACCTGAGCACAAAGAGCAGGATGAAATATGTATTTTTTATTTGAAATGGAAGCTTCTCAAGTAAGCTATCTGTACACTATGCAGACAACTATAACAGGGTATTGGTTTTCACTTTTTTTTAAACAAAAGGAAACATTTAACGTTCAAATGTAAACTTGATTTTGAAAACAATGGCGCCCTTTCAGACATGTTTCTATCACAGCCACATACCTAAAATGCATGTATGTAAACTGTGCTCCTATTACCTCAAGAAGGCTATTAAAGCCCCACTGCACTACATACAGCTACTTGCACCCTCTATATACATGTACATGTAACACACAATGCCTAATCCGTGAACATTGGTCCCCTATGATCCTCTTTTTTGTATGTTAAGTGAGAGCTGATGTGATGAGATAACCACCCGTCAGTGACCTTGCAGGGTGGTCTAATCCCTCCTGTAAACTATTACAGATGGGCTTTAAACTTTTCTGTGGAAACCTTTTTCCATACAGCCCTGTTCACAAGTATAGTATTATGTATGCGAGGGGGCAATTTCTTGCCTTTGTAGGAGGAGCAATGAGATTAGCCACAGCAATGTTAACATTATTCTCTGAGATACCTGGAAAACCCTTGAGAATATGATTGATTTAATATTCTCAACACCTGTTTTTTTTCCTCAGTATTCCTCTAGTGCCAAAATAATTATGTTATCAATTGCCAGTTTTGGGGACCTTGAAGTTGTCAAACCTTAAAGGAGAATGAAACCCTTCATTCAGTTCATTGTAACCTACGTCATTATGTAGAGGACATTTAAACTCAGATTTTCATACAACGATCAGGTTCGTAGGATATGTACATGTATACCATATTCACTAAAGTTCCCAAAATAAGAAGACGGTTAGCGTCTGCTATAAGTTCAGAAGGGAGCTGTTATTATGACGTAACTGTGCTGTACTCCACCAGTACCACGGCCTTTACAGTGACCAATTTGCCAAAGTTGACTATAGGAGGATATGCGTGCAATTCGCAGGGCTTACATACAGGGACCAAGCCTCATGCCATTCTCATTTCCTGAATGGTATACACCGGTTCGAATGCGAACAGCTGCTGATCATCCATAATAATTAATAGTGAAACACCACAAGTACAAAAGAAAGTTTGATTGTTATTTTTGTTTTTGATGATTGAAATAGATAACCTGGCTTTATCCCAGCTCAGCTGCCTTAAGGTGCTCAAAGCTTTTGTTGAAACTCCTACCAGGTACCCACTTACTACACCTACATGTAGGTGGGAAGTAGGAATGTCTTGCCAATTATAGGACATTAATAACATGGGGGGGGGGGGGGACTCAAGCCATGTGATCCTCAGTCTGGTGAGACATACCTGTTTGCCCATGACACCTCTACTCAAATTACATGTAGCTTGTGTGAAAAGATGTCTTTTTCACCTCCTCATTGATCTGGGATATTTTGGAGGTTTTTGATGCACCACATGCCTACCGGTACCCTTTTTTTGTTTCACTGTCTGTGTGTAACAAAGGGTTTACACAAAAGAGTGAAATAAAACCACACCTTTTATCGTCAACAACCATGGTAGTGAACATGAGGACCCATACCAGAGAAAAGCTGTATGAGTGTTCAGTGTGTCACAAAAGCTTTCGCCGAAGTAGTACATATGACAAACATAACCACACCGGTTAGTGAATGTGAGAGTTTATTTTCTCCCCCATGTAGCAGGAGGGATGAAATTTGCCACAGTAAGGTGTGTATGATTATGAGAACTCCACAGAACTCTTGAAAGTCCGACGTTGGGGAATCAGTATTTCAACTTTTAGATATGAATTTTAGATAAGTTTACACTTTGCAGCACCTTTCCCACATGAAATGTAAAGTTGACATAAATTGATATCCACCTGATTTGTACAATAATACAGTGTACATGTAGCTGTGAGAAACAATGTTCATTTTTCCCACTTGCCTCACTGAGCTAGGGTAGGGACAGTTTTGTGATGCACTCTTAAGCTTATCTCCTACTTTGGTCATGACCTTAAAGTTTAAACCCATTGCCTGCAGGAACTGGGTGGATCCTGTATTAAGTCTATGGACATGAGAGAATTCAGTTATCAATTGTCAAGTGTGGGTTTTCATATGTTTCTTACGGGTACTCCTTTCCCTAAAGCTCTTGTCACAGATGGAGCATGTAAAGGGTTTTTCTCCAGTGTGAATTGTCATATGATGAGTAAGATTAGCATTGCGGGTAAAGCTTTTGTCACAGACGGAGCATGTAAAGGGTTTTTCTCCAGTGTGAATTGTCATATGATGAGTAAGAGTAGCATTGCGGCTAAAGCTTTTGTCACAGAAGGAGCATGTAAAGGGTTTTTCTCCAGTGTGAATTGTCATATGATCTGTAAGAGAAGCATTGTGGGAAAAGCTTTTGCTACATATTGAACACTTGAAGGGCCTTTCTCCTGTGTGGATTTTTAAGTGCGTTGAAAGGTGACAGTTTTGGGAAAACGTTTTTTTACAAAAAGAACACTCGAAAGGCTTCTCTCCTGTATGGGTAACTATGTGTCTTGAGAGTCTTTCAACACGACTAAAACTCACATCACAAAACTTACACTGAGATGGCTTTTCCCCTGTATGGGTTCTCATGTGGTCTTGGAGACCATTACTCCGGCTATATTTCTTATCACAAAACTTACACTCATATCTTTTTTTCCCCGTATGAACTGTCATATGTTGTGCAAGATTACCACTTGCACAAAAGCCTTTGTCGCAAACTGTACACCGATAAGTCTTTTCTCCTGTATGGATTCTCAGGTGTTCCTTTAGAATGTTCATGTACATAAATCTCTTGCTGCAAAGCATACACTCATGGGGCTTTTTTCCTCCATGGGTTCTCATGTGTCTAGACAAACTAGTCCTGAGGGCAAATCCTTTGCTACAAACACAACAGAGAAAGGGTTTTTCTCTAGTTAGGCTGCAGCTAGGATCCTTTTGATCGCTTCCTGTTGCATGAAGCTGGGAAGACTGATTGATCATCTCATCACATTCCATCGTGATGTCTTCATTCCTATCTTTATCCATTCCTCCAGGTTTATGATATGACGTGGTAGCATCCGATGTCTCTCTGTCAGCTGCTCGTTTTTCATGAAAATAAGCCACTTGGCTTGGTATGAGACAAGAGTCATACTCACTTGGGCAACTCTCTCTTTCAGATGAATCGGATTGAGTTCCTCTGCCAGCTTCTAATGGGAAATCCTCTGGAAGACTCGGACCTCTCGCATCGTCAAATGATCTATCATTTGACTTTTCCTCAGTGTTTCTCATACTTTGATAGCAGGTCAGCACACTTGAATCCCCACCTGAGCACAAAGAGCAGGATGAAATATCTAACTTTGATTTAAAATGGAACATTCTCAAGTAAGCTACCTGTACATGCAGACAACTACAACATGGTACTGGTGTTCCTCTTTTATTTAATTCAAAAGTATACATTCAAATGTAAACATTGAAAACAATTTCACCAAAAAAAGGGTACAAGTGGGGTGGGGTAAAAAGCATACTAGTACATGTAGCAACATACATTAATGTATCCCCTTTCATCCCTATGCATAATCACTGATATTGAGATAAAGAAATGTAAAGTGCACTCAAATGATTTTGTTTCATCTTTCTTTTAATACCAAGGTGGTCTGAATGGTCGTCGATACAAACCTTGTTTGCTACATGATTGTGATGTTGCCTGCAGAGCGGTCCTTTCATCATCATCATCTGCACTGTCACTATCCGCAGGTTCTTCCTTTATAAAGTATGTCAAAGTCTGGTGGTCAGCTTCTTTTGATTGTTGGGCCTCCGTCTCCTTAGCGTCATCATCCTCTGTCCAACCATCTTCTGAATCTGCTTCCAGCACGGAATCAGTATGAAATCGTCTCTGGACTTCTTCTCCTTGCTGACCTTCTTTCAAGTGGTCTTCCTTAACCTGAGACTTCTCAGTTCTTTCTGATGATTGTTGCTCTTCCGATACCTCTTTGGCATCATTCTCTGTCCAGTCATCTTCCAAGTCTTCTTCCTTCACGATGTAGGTCTTGTATGGTTCCTCTGATGACTGAGGTTCCTCTTTGATCTCACTCTTGATCACTTCCAGACTGGTCTTCTTGTCTTCCATGATTCTGTGAAAAAGGGTAAAAATACATTAAAAAAAAAAAAGAATTTGCCACGGACCACGGTCCATCACACATCAAGTTAAATCCTGACTGTATGATGCGTTTAAAGGTCTTTTTTTGTGGATTTTCTTCGTCGAAATTGAGCTCCTTGTTGAAATTCTTGCAGCCGTATTTTATATTGTGCGCTTGAAAGAAGACGACGTCATCCATTGACAGTAACAGAATACGGCTGAGAATTTCAACACGTACCATAATTAACGTTGTATTAACCACACTTTTTTGCCGCCGAAAAAAATTCAGAGTCGGGGGTGCGTCTTATACACAGTACACAAAAAAAGTTTCGATTTATGCCCCTCCACCTGGCGCTATGCCTGGCAATGTCTCCCAGCTCAGTAATCGGTGTGTTGACTCACCACTCGGAAACTAGAACACTCAAATTCGTCTGTCATCTTGGTTTGAAAGTAATCTTTCTGATAGATCTCAATATGTAGTTTATAATAATAATTGCTCCAATATTTCTTCTATTACACGGCGTACCACAAGGTAACTTCTATCCTAGGTCCTCTACTGTTTTTTAATTTACATTAATGATCTTACACATTCAGCTGCACCTCGCAGTTAAATGAAAGGCCTGCCTGCGTGGTTTTTTAACACGGACCTAGCTTTTTTTTTCTTTCCTTTCCTTTTTTTTAGGGCGAAAAAGAGGGATGCGGTTAATACACGAGGGCGGTTTATACACCCTTAATTACGGTAGCTCAATTTTGACGAAGAAAATCCGGGAAGAGACCCTTAAAGGGATCGTTTAACAATGTTAAATCTGAGATACACGGCCCTATGTGTTATCAGTGTCTGTGATATGGTGTAATATTGAAGCCCTAAAAAAATTGCGCTTCAAAATGATCAAGAAGTGCCTCAAAAAAGTAAAACTCTTTGAGTGACTGGTTTTATCATACTCGTTTTCCCCAATAGACTGTAGTGTTATGAAAACCGTCAGGCGAACGGTTTTCAAAATTTGTAATTCCAATCATAAATATCTTGATAATCAGACAGGCGACCGGCTTGTAAAAGTCATGGGGTTCCTGACTGACCTAGAGGTGTATAATTATCATTGCATTATGAGCTAAATCCAGAATTTTATTTCAGAATCTGAGACAAAGTTACCGGATCCCTTTAAAGGGGAAGTCCACCCTGAAATTAAGTTAGTTTTAATAGGAGTAGAAAAATGAGAGAAACAAGTCAGTGAAAGTTTGAGCAAATTCCGATTAAAAATAAGGAAGTTAGGATTTTTGAAGTTGTGATCAATCAAACACAAATTGGCAACTCTATGACGTATCATGCGAGCTCAACTTCCATTTGCTCAGTACTAAAAAAATCTAAAATTTTCATTTTCCCTCAAGAAAAATTTCAACCATACATGCACCCTAAATATAATAATTGCAAATATGTTTCTATACTCCCCCTGCAGGGAACAAATATATATTCCGTCATCAATAACGAAGAAAACATGATTTTATGGAATATTATGCACAAAGCAAATGAAGGAGAGCTCGTATGATAAGTCACAGAGTTGCCAATTTGTATTTGATTGATCACAACTTCAATAATTCATAACTTTCTTATTTTCATTCAGAATTTGCTCAAATTTTCACTCACCTGATTTTCTTATTATTCTGCCTCTATCGAAACAAACTTATTTTGGGGGTGGACTTTCCCTTTAAAGGGACTTGGTAACATTGTTCAGATGAGAGATAGTGGTGCTAATTAAGGCAGTGATTTCAATGCTAGATGTACAATTAAAGATAATCTGAAAATTTGAGTGAAAACGGACCATTATTCATGGTACAAATTTAGAAAAAATGATCTGATCAATTCCTTAATTCTCCCAACTATAATATTACAATTTAATTACATTTTAGGTGATTGGAAATCGTCACAAAGCAATAAAATGGCTCTACATTCCATTTCAGACATCAAGTGTTGACAGATTTTGTATAGCCTGTTTTATATATCTTTTTTCATGGAACGGTTTGGAAAATTGGTTGGGAGAATTTACTGTTAATCACTGTTAGAGCGTGGCATACATCGACTCCTTCATGTCAGAGGGTTAGTACAGTACGTAGAAGGAATATAGTAAGTAACATTTTATACAAAATTTAAGCAATTTTTTCATCAACCTTCAACAGTGTTACCAAGTCACTTTAAAGATGTCCAAATGCAGCCGACATCAAATTCTGAAGAATATGTCATGTTTGTCCTACTGTGAAATTTAAACGTTAGCAGTGTCCTCGTATTCAAATTATGCAAAGAAACCTGTTTACTTGCTAGACTTGTCAGACACTATTGAGTGACTGACTGGCTTCTTTTTCTTCTTTGGTAATAAAATGAGCTGTAAAGGGTACATGACCATTACATCAATAACCCACTTCTTGTAATGGCCAAAATGACTATTTGTAACAATTTTTTCAGCATCCTTAAAAGGTTAATTATTTCACATATAAGTCTTATGTACCGGTAACTATTTTTTAAGTTTGAACAATTCTCATTTTAATATTTAAGGTACAAACTGGAAATTTATTCATAAATGTTTTTTAATTTTATGTGTAGATCTATGCAAATTTCATGTGTGCGTCAGTTATGTGTGAAGTGCGTCACCCGTTTATTTAAAGCATGACATGTCAAAATCTGTGGTGTACGTGACTTGCCATAGAACTTATTACTTAGTTAACTTGCACGTTAAGTAGGCAATCTAGCTGTCACGTAATTTGAAGCCACTTGAGCGGATCGGCCAATGAGAGCGAGTATAATTAAACTCACTGCGTACAGCGCTCAATGCGCAAAGTTCTTTGTGAGACACGTGGTGAATGATCTGCACCTATTTGTAGCGGCAAGGTGAATGATGAATCTGCATCTGCACCCCATTTTTCTTGGAGATGGGTGACTCTGCACCCTATAAATTATTTGGAAGAGTAAATCTCGACCTTATTTTTTATGAAGCAAGGTGAATTAGACTCTAGATCTATAGTCTAGATGTCAGAGCTACCAAGTATCACGCATTAGGCGTGACATCGCGCATTTCGAGGGTCTGAAAATGCTCTTACGCACAACGTGCGCGCTAGATTTTTAAAAAACGCTAGACCTTGTAGACTACATGTGTTATAGTACCTCGCACGCGCACTTGCGCGCCGAATCATGAAAATGTCATGCATTGCCGATCTTTGAACTTGGCGTCTCTGAGATGTGAATATTTTTGTCGGAGCTACATGTAGACCAAAGAAGTGAATAAGAGTGAAGTCTTGAGGGGGTAAGGGAGTCAATGCTAATGCGTATTGACCTCTAGCTATGTGTAATAATAGGCCACATTTGAATACATGATTGAATTAATACACAACACACAAATGCACACAATCATGCCGATGCGGCTGATCGTCAAGTTTGACAGTACACTCACACTCACACTCAGTCACAATTTGAATTTTTAAATTATATTCTTTCTTAGTTTCTCCCAACATCAGTAAGTTTGAAAAATAAATTGTATTTTACTGCTAAAGAGAGAGAGAGAGAGACTAGGTCTAGATCTAGGCTAGCTAGCTTGCTTCACCGATATAATGGTAAAGTCGAAACAAAGACAAAAAGCAAAGCGGCAGGCAAAGAATCTTGTCAAATGGACAACAAATAATGCGAACAAGACTTACATTGTGGACGCATGAGAGTCGACAGCATGCAGCATCACAAGATGACAGATAAGGCCTTCTCAATCTCAGCAGAGATCGAGACTAAATAGTAAATTTCTAAAACATAAATCTGTCTGCTTTTTTCAAATAAATGCACGGATCAGCCATCAGCCGTGGGACTTGTACAACTCGCCCCAAACAAACTCACAGGGATCGGATACACGGCAGTGTTTACGGAGTCTTCCTTTTCAGGAGTTACACGAGGCGAGGGGTGTCGATTTGTATCCGTGGTTGGGGGGGGGGGGGGGGGGGGATGATAGATGCCAACATATTTTCGGCAATGGATCAAAGCAACCAAGAGGCCTAGCTAGCGTGTGGCAGCTAGGTTGCACCCTAGCTCTCTTTCAATTTTTAGTTATAACTTTTTCGTTTTATTACAATGCCATAAAACATTGGAATTTCCTTCCCAATGGTGTAAAAGAAATAGGAAACCATTAAAGGAATACCTAATACTTGACAGTCAGACAAGAGAAGTGAATGACATGTTATATGATTGAAATTTTTATTCTTCTGTCGGTTCATACTTTTTCATGTTGTATATACTTATGTTTTCGTACGTTATAGAAATTCTACAAATTCATCATTATTTTCCTCTTCTTCCTTTTCCTCTTTTTCTTCTTCTCCTTCTTCTTTTTCTTCTTGTACTTAATATCATTTCTATCATCAGTTTAATGTTGTTATTATTATTATTATCTTTAATAAGTTGTTCTTTTAATTGTCTTATCTGTCTGTAAATATTACTATTTTAACTTATTAATTTTATACATGTCTGTAAGGGACCCCACTGGAAATAAGCTCTCGAGCTTTCGTGGGTTATCCTGTTCAAGCTGACTTTTTTTTTGATCTGTTATTATTGTATATTGTTGTATGTTGGAAGCTTGTCGAATAAAAATCAATCAATCAATCAATCACCCTCAATAACATTTCAGAGAATATAAGAGTTGTAATATAACATGCTAAATGTTAGTCCTGACTCTTGCCTGCAGTGAAGCTAGCCTACTGCAGACTAATATCATCTATTTTTAAACGAAATTTAGACATTACCAAAAAAATTCTACTGGTGAGGGATATCAACTCGTGAAAGTATTAAGTTACCAGTGGGCAAACGCATTAATAAGCAACCAGGAAAGGTTCATGTAGACAGAAAATTCTTTATTTCCTGGTAATATACATTTTATTATTGATGTCTCCAAACAATTAAGTTCATCGTGAAACTATACCATTTCAATATTCCGTGTAAGGAGATCTAAAAAAAAAAAACATAGTTCTCATTCACAGGCGCGCCGGAAGCAGTTTGGGATTGGGGGGGGGGGGGGTCGAGGGGCATGCAAACATTCCAGGGGGCTCACCTTCCAGGGGCAGTGACGATAATGAGAAAAAACGTTCGAAAGGGGGGGGGGCAGACGAAAAATGTGCATCACCACCAGTCTTGCACGTTACATGCAGGTCCCGCGGAACGTTTTTCAAACTGAGATATATCGATCACTAGAGCGTAAATTGGCGTAGGGTCCAAGGCATTGATCGAGATCGAGCCTCGGCAAGGGGCTAAGGGGCTGAGCCCCCGGAAGCCCAGGGATTTTAGGTATTTAATTACGGTTAGATGAGCTTCCAGGGGCCCTCTTTAAGGCCATTGACGTGTTCCAGGGGGCCGGGGGGGGGGGAAGCCCCCAGAAACTCAGAGGTTTTAATATTTAACTACGGTCAGATGAGCATCCAGGGGCCTTAGGGCCCTTGATGGGGTCCAGGGGCAGAGCCCCCGGAAGCTCAGGGGTTTTAGGTATTTAATTACGGTCAGATGAGCATCCAGGGGCCCGCTTTAGGGCCCTTGGTGGGGTCAAGGGGGCAGAGCCCCTGGAAGCTCGGGGTTTTTAGGTATTTAATTATGGTCAGATATGAGCATCCAAGGGCCGCCTTAGGGCCCTTGGTGGGGTCCAGGGGGCAGACCCCCGGAAGCTCAGGGGTTTTAGGAATTTAATCACGGTCAGATGAGCATCCAGGGGCCCACCTTAGAACCCTTGGTGGGGTCCAGAGGGCAGAGCACCCGAAAGCTCGGGGGTTTTAGGTATTTTATTACGGTCAGATGAGCATCCAGGGGCCCGCTTTAGGGCCCTTGGTGGGGTCCAGGGGGCATAACCCGGGAAGCTCGGGGGTTTTAGGTATTTAATTACGGTCAGATGATCATTCATGGGGCAGAGCCCCCGGTAGCTCAGGGGTTTTAGGTATTCAATAACGGTCAGATGAGCATCCAGGGGACGGCCTTAGGGCCTTTGGTGGGGTCCGGGGGCGGAGCCCCTGTAAGCTCTGGGGTTTTAGGCATTTAATTACGGTCAGATGAGCATTTTTATACCTTATTTGTGACATGGGCACTTATGGGCACTTATTTTTTTCTCTCCGTCTTTCTTTCTTTTTCTCTTTAACATACTTTTTCAAAGAGTGAGGGTGGGGGGGGGGGCAGCTCGAGCCCAGCCGCCTTGCAGACCATGACATAAAGGCTTTTAAATAAGCGTTTTTTCGCCCGACTGTAATATAGGAATTTCTTATTTTCCAACAAACCCATAAAAAGGTATGACTTAAAAAAAAATGGAGAAAAAATACCGGAAAATCATGTCATAACAGCAACATTTGTAAATCACTGGTATCGAATAAGAAATACACCCCCCCCCCCCAAATCAGTACGCCAGCGTTCAGGGGCTCATGTCTTCTCACCCCTATAACAAAAAAAAACAGACACGCGGTCCTATTCTCGCACAATAATGTCCACGATATGCGCGTAACGCTATTATAAAGACCTCCATTGATAAATACCGTATAGGTGGCATGCGCAATGTTTATGCAATTTAATTCCTGTGAACTTTCCTTTTCTTTGAATGGAATTATCTTTGTGATTTAATTCAGGTTTTATTATTGTTATGTTCTTTTGGGTTAAAAATACAAACCATGTTTACTCCTTTACTGCTTCTTTTTTTTTTTTTTTTTGAGGGGGGTGGGGGGCATTTTGGGGGGCAAAAATGCGTTTTGCCCCCCCCCCCCACTTTTTTGTTTGGGGGGGGGGGCAACTGCCCCCCCCCCCCACTTCCGGCGCCTATGCTCATTCATAGTAAATGAATATTGCTTTTGGTTCTTCATCGCCTCTCTTCCTTCTTTAATTAAACCAACTCAATTCTCTCTGCGGGAAACTCAATTCAATGAAACAGAATGGCACTGACGCAAAATTTGGTTCTCAAACTTGGACAGAAAATTTGGTTTTCAATCCTGATCTCATACAAACTGTCTGTTTCTTAAAGACATAATATAAAACTTACATTCCAACTACCAAACAACAATTATCTCCTTACTTATCATACCAGATACGCTCTAAAATATAAGCATATCCCCCGCCGTGTGACCAGAGCACTATTTTTTCTTCTTCAAAAACTATAACCAGCGTCTTAGAAGGTGCATTATTGGAAGGCTGTTATAAACAAAACTTCAAGCTTAATAACATTCTAACCTTCAAAAACACCTTAACTATCTTATGCCTGTTACGTGTGAATACAATACATAGGCCCACAACAGCTTTTCAATACTAAACACAAATAAGTTGTGACATAATAATGTTTCTCCAAAATATCGAACTGCGTGGAGTATTCTGTAATTGTATATTGCTTGTTTATGTACATACAAAGAGCTTATTTTCGAGAGGCACTAGATCCATGTGTGTAACTTAAGAAAGAACTCTTTGTTTATTTTGTTCAGGTGTCTATGGAAAATTGGTATTAAAAGATGCATGTGTTCATAATTTCTCTCGTAATGTAGGTTATTAATTTTGTTCAAGGTAAATAGAGGAAAATGTATATCATTATCTCCATTCGCTATCAAAAGATTTTGCTCCTTTCGGAAAATAGCTCTTCAAATGTTTTACATGTAGAGATATAAATAAACAAAGAAATGGATTAAATAAGTAACACAAACTAGATACTGAATATGAATCAGGGAACAAACTGAAAGTATCGTCTCCTACATGCTGCCATTTGGACAAAACCGTCTTTCCCTTGTCTTTCTTACTTTTCTCTTCCCCCTCCCTTTTTTCTTCTGCCCGTTTCTTCCCCTGAGCCCCTTTTTTCCCAGGTAGCAAGCATATTATGGGGCCCATCAATTATGAGGATGATCTGGGTCACTTGTGCCATCTGGGCTAAATGGAACCCCGGTATGTATCCCATTATGGGGCCAATATTTAGTAAACCATATGGGATCTATCTGAGCCAGCCATTATGGGTCCCAGATGGGAATGACCTGGGCGTACACATAATGGGTAGAATTGTCCATAATGGGTATAACACGGGTATAACACGTACGTGGGGAAAATCTGGGTTTATATACCCACATGGGATATATCTGGGTTAACCAATATGGATACCAGATGATTAGCTGGGCATACCCATTTGGGCCCAGTTTGGTATGGGTCGATCCCATCTGGGTCCCATCTATCTTATATGGGTTTACCCTTATGCGTCCCATATGCTTCTTGGGTGCAGATGCCTTAGGGCGCCCCAGATGGTTTCCCATATGGGGCCCATGTTTCAGAGAATATGGGACCCATAATGGGTCTCACATAATTTATGGGCTTACTACCTGGGTTCCTCTCTGTCTCTCATTATCTCTCTCTCTCCCACTCTTTACTTCTTTTTTTGCACTTTTGCGCTTCGCGATTAACATTGAGCTCGTTGCTTTTTAACGCTGCGGCTTTGCATTTGGCGCACTGCATTAATTTCTATGATGATGTTGCCAATAAATTTATCAATTCCTGATGAAGCCGTATGAGCGAGAATTCAATTTATTCTTGTCTCATTTACTTCGTTTTCTATTTATATATGTATGTATTATTAAAATGAGATAGCAAAATGTGTGTTGATAGTCATCTTGCAAGTGATAACCATTAACTACTCTCATTGATGGTGAATTATGGGGGGGGGGGGGGGGGAGGATGATTGTACTGGCCACCCCCCCCCCCCCACCTGAAATATTGGGGGGGGGGGGGACAAAAATGTTGATGGACCAACAGAAAGCTTCTATTGGACCAACATCCACCCACATCTCCTGTGGGTTTTTGTTGGTCCATCAGCGATTTTCTGTGGGTGGGTCTGTTGGCCCAATAGATATTTTCTATGGCTGTGCCGCTGTGGGTCCATTCAAGATGTTTCGATGGTTTTCTAATGGTCCCACATTCCATATTCCCTA